ATACTTGCTTGTATTACAATTGACTGATACGTTAATTAGATATAATATTCTTGAGGGAACAGCCTTTTTTCTTCAAAATTCTCTCTCTATATTTTCATAAAGGAGTGGAACTCTCATGAAATACTATTTCTTTCCTATGTATTATGGTTTTCCACTTACTACCATTTTTCAAAGTTATTTGTATGTCTCATCTCCCCTAACTAACTAAATGGTAAGCTCTTTGCATTCAGTAAAATGCTTCCAAGTAAATGAATGTAATTCGAATTTATAAATTCTGCTTCATAACCATAATTTATTACAATATTTTTAAACTATATCATGTCACCTTAGAAACTCATTTATCTTATAATAAGGGAACTATACTAGGTGATCTCCATGGTTCATTCCAGTTTAGACGTTTCACTGCCTATGATTCTGTTTGTGTGTGTATATATAATATTCAAGAAATTGTCCAGTCCATTCAATTATTCAGTTCTATTGGCTATTTATTCATTTATCTCCATAATATTTTTATACATCATTTGAAGAATTATCAGTATATATTCTCATAATCATAGGAGACACTAGAAGTTTAATGTTCAATCTCAAACCTAATCCTTTAAAAGGGGCATGGCCTATAACCAAGAGTGAAGAAGAAACATGTAATGAAAAATACTTGCTAGCTAATATGTCTACAAATTTGTTGAAAGTCCAATTCATGTATGCATATTTCTGCTTATTAAAGATAATGCTACTTAATTCTTTATATAAACATGTATAAATGTGGTTTTTAAAAAACGTGTTTGTTCTTCACTGTGAAGTTTGCTGTTCAAAGTCATCTCTCTCACTAAAAGAATCTGTTATTTAAACTTTATCTTATCAAGTAATACTTTTGCACTAGTCTACCTTTAAGCTTAGATTAAGAAATTGGTTTTTCCTTTGGGTTAATAAAATCATTTTTACTAAAAGAACTTTCCCTCCTTGACTAATTATATTGATTCAAACTTTAATGAAGTGAAAATCTGATTATCAGCCATACTCTAATTTTTAATTAGTTTGAACATTTGTACATCCATTCCTATCAACACTTCTTTTGGGGTTATTTGAATTCAAAATTAATTTTAAGGCATTAATGAAAT